GGGGGGGTTGTTGTAGACCTTGACCCCCCCCCCCCCCTCCCCTCGAACGAAATAGAATGAATAGATAAATTTAGAAAATGTGTACCTTTACCAGGTTCCGCCCTCCCTCCCCCCATCCCCCGAAAGTGTCAAGTGCTACCCCCAGAGAAAAAAGTCTGAAAGAAAAACTGATTGGACTCAGAGGCGTAGCAAAGGGGGTGGGGGGTGGGGGCGGGGGTGCGGACCGCACCGGGTGACACCATTTAGGGGGGTGACACCAAGGCAAAGAATAGTAAAATATATAGAGAAAAACTTGAGGGGGGGTGCAAATCGAAAGTTCGAGAGGGGTGCAAATCGATAGTTTGAGGAGGGGGTGGGGTGTAAATCGAAAATTTGAAAGCTCGTCCCCGGGAAGGGTTGCTACGCCTCGGGGGGGGGGGGGGGGGGGTGACACCATTAAGTGCCGCACCGGGTGACACCCGACCTCGCTACGCCACTGATTGGACTATAATATTAGTAGCTACAGGCTTATTCCTATTAGGTTAAACATGAATAGTAGGCCTATATATCAATAATTAAAAGCAAGTGTTCAGTGAAATAGGGTTGGAGTTTTTTTTTAATACGTTATCATAGACATTTTTTTTAAAAATGGTTCGGGAATTTCCAAACATTATCAAATTATTTCGTTATCAGCTGTTTGGGTGACGTATGGGTTTATCCAATGACGTTATTAAGATTAAAAATAGAAGAAAATGTGACATGAAAAGCCGTAGCCTACTTAGGGCCTATATTAATGTTTACACTGCTAGTTCGACTAGTAATTAACTTTCGCTTCTTTAATGAATTCATCAAATTCTTAAAGTTTATAATACCGCTCTTAATATTTTTTTTTTTTTTTTTTTTTTGTAATTTAAATAGAACTTGATCTAGATCTAGCTTCTAAATCTTGATACAGGTAAGATTTTTTACAAAACTATATTTTGGACAGTAGAGTAAGAGACTAAGAGAGCTTACCAAAAAACATCATTAGGCTATTAGTTTTATTTAATTATTAATTAACTCATAATAGGTCTACATCATTTTAGTATTATTACTTATTTTAGTTATTAGGCCTAATGGCTAATAGTTAATAGTAACTTAATAGTAATAGATTAGAATAGACTAATCTAATAGTATAGGATATGTTATAAGCCTAGGCGTAAATTTAAATAAGTAATAAAATAATAAATACTGTATTTATTACTATACTTTAGTTAACCATAGGGGTCTATGTATAGTCATAGTGCTTATTTATTATAATTACAGTATATTTTAGGCTACTACTAGTCTAGTCAAATAAGGTTTTTAAAAAAGTAGGCCTAAGCCTTAAGGCATGCCCTAAGCGTTTTAGTTACAAATTAAAAAAAATGCTTGGGTTAGGCCTACATCAACTAAATGTCCACATGTGTTTTTTTTTATTAATAATGAAAATGTGGACATGGGTAGGCTATTCAACTATAAACTATTCTATTTAGTTTATATTATAGGTCTACTATTTAATAGATTCATAATTCAAATGATGTAAATCATCCGTTAATGTTTTACATACAACTAAATCAAGAACTATTGTACTGGATCATATAGTATAGTGTAATTGAGGGTTCTTTTTTGTTCTGCTTAATCTTTTCATGTTTCCCTGTTAAGAAGCATAGTCAAGTACAGAAGAGGCTATAAAGTAGACCAAGGCAGTATGTCCAATGAAGAAGATGTGTCAAAGTATTTTATTGGTAACATTAATTTGTTGTCTACATAAGACCACCCCCTTAAAAAAAGAACAATTATATTAGTTTAATTATACAAAATGACAATACATTAATTAAATGCTAAACTAAATCTAATCTTTGTTTTGAATGAATATCCAACAATGAAGGACATTGGTAGAGTTGTAAATTGTTGATATTATTGTTATTTTATACTTGTCAAAGTTCAACACCTAATGTATTGTTTATGGTAATAATTTCCCTTTGTCTACCTGTACAGGTACACATGAAGTACAAGAATGCCTTGAAGGTCAATGTGAGCTAGATCTACACACACACCTGGCCAACTGCAAGAAAAATCCTGGCCATTTTGAGTTTGTGCCCATAAATAAACTAACTGCCCAACATTTTCCTTCTGATTACCATAACGAAGACCTCTTGGATTTCACTCAAGCTGTAGCTGACCTAACCGTCAGGATAGCAGTTAATTTTACCAGTCTAGACAGACCAGAGTTTGTACCAGGCACAACTGATCCATATCCTTGCTACAATAAAAGGGGACAGAACTCACTGAGGACAGGGACTGGGAGGGTGAGGAATGTGGAAAAGTACACAGAGGGCAAGCGAGGCTACACATCTTGTCCATGTCCTGAATGTACACACTCTGTCACACCCAGCAGAGTCTGGTGGCACGTCGGTGTCGTGACAGCCAAACATGTAGTTTTTGATTCCAGTGAGGCAGAACAGTCTAGCTGTCGGTTATGGTTCGATGATGAAGTCAGTCCAGTGGTTAAGATGTATGGGTGGCAGGCGGGTTGGTCTAGCAATGAAAGAGACTGGTGTGTGTTCTATTGTGCGACACATGACTCGGGATTAGCTGGGAAACTGGAGGAGATGCTGCAGCGATTTAGTTTCCTATGTGGAAAGATAAGCGAAAAACACAAGGGTCTTTATTTATTCAATTTATTCAATAACAGTAACAATAATAGGCATCTTAAAGATGTAGACAAGCTGACCATTATTGTGTCTCATCCCCACGGCTGTTCAAAGCAGGTTTCTATAGGTCACTGGGTACACAAGCAAGAGGTTTCAGATGAAAGAACCAGGTATGCGTACACAACGTCTACCTGTCCAGGTAGCAGCGGGGCACAGGTGTACAGACTGGGATGTAACTGGTTATGTGCCCATGCCCACAGTGGAGGAAACTCTGATGGGTTAAATTATAGTGGGCTGGAATGGGGCTAAGTTGTGTGGTTGTGTAACTGTGATGGGTTAAATTATAGTGGGCTGGAATGGGGCTAAATCTTGTGTTTGTGAAACTGATGGGTGTGGGCTGGAATGGGGCTAAGTCTTCTTGTTGCCAGGCTTTGTATGTTGACATCTATATTATGTTTCTTGTTACTATATATAGCGCAATATAAAATTAAACACATCTAAAATATATGTTTTATAATTAAGAGATACTGTATATCTTTTCTTTTACATTTCATTTTACATTCTCATTTCTGTATGGACTGAAGATTAAATATGTTCTGTATAATGTGTATTAAAACCTCTATTATTTAGATATGCCTGGCAATGGATTAAGCAACATCAGTTTTTACAGTTTTAATTAATAGGTTAAAGGTTATAGGACTGGTCTATTTCTGATTTTTCGGTGTTATATGGTATAGGGTGGCAACAATGAAACCATTTTTTTTTTTTTTTGGAAATTAGAGTTCTGATTTGTTCAAAATGCATGTTATTCAGTATGACCTGGTAGTCCCATAGACACTCTTACATATTCTTTCTTCCAACATAAAATTTGTGTCTAACGTAGAAATAATATAAGCATATTATATTGTCATTTCAAGTAGAAAAAAATGTGATATTAAAATATGTTTGTACTTTTAGTCTGCAATAAAACACATGTAGTTCAAAGAACTGTGTATCAGCCTATTTATTAATAACTGACATGTATATTTAAATATCTAGATACATGCATCTAACTGAGATAGATTGAGCCAATTATTTCACATCTTGTCCTTAAAATCTATACAGGCCTACTGTCTTGACTTGCACATTCATGATGTATGACGTGTAATGCATTTATGATAACAAGATTTTAAGAAAATGAATGTTTTTCTTCAGATCTAGTTGTAAGAGCATTGGTCTCTATATATTTGGTTTTATTGAACTATTTTATTATGGGTTAAACAAGTTGAATATGTCAGTTTCTGTGTCAACCTAAATTGTTCCATTAGACCTACCAGTAGCTACAATTTTTTTAGTTTCAAAATGTAAGAAATGTATTGAAAAATATTAACAACATTTTTAAAAAAATCTAATAAAATGTGGTAACTAAATTATGTTTATTATTTATTGAATCCTAACTTATGGTACATTAATTTTGTACTAACCTAAATTCACCTGGTAGGTTACAAAAACAATATGTAAAGAAAACAAAGATTTTATACAATTAACTTGAAATGCACATGATTGTATCAGTCCTTTTAAAATATAGAAGCAAGTTAAATAATCATTAAAAAATTGTCTTTGATACAATTAAAGCTTTAACACAGAAAAAACCAGGGTTGAAAACAATAACAATGAATCACAGGAACATAACTTACAATAGCATATATGTAAAGTGATAACTAACAAAGAAGTATATACAATAACTACAGAATTTTAAAGTAGAAAAAGTTTTCCTTTTAAAAAAACAACAACCTTGTTGACGTTAAAATTTGTAAGAAGTTCATAGGTGAGATGGAATACAATCACATAGCAAAACCATACTAGTAATAATCTAATTTTGAAATTAATAGTTTTAATCATCCTTTTGACCTGCCTAATTTGACAATAATTTAAAAGTAAATACACATAAACCCTTTATTATTATTTGTTGCAATTTGAATGTCATTGTTCATCTAGAATGGACAATAGTACTTAAAATGATATACCTAACACAGATAAAGATAACTGAATAATTAATCTACAATGCCAAAATCAGTAAAACAAAAATTTAAACAAAGATTTTTTACTCACAAACATAAAATAAGACACTTAAAACATCGTCAAAATTTTTGAAAATATAAAAGATGCCCTTTTTATATATATTAGATTGTTTTGTTTTTTTACATGCTTTTGATAAATTAGCCTTCATAAAAAGTTTGTAAGATATATTACATTTAAGTCACCTTAAAAGTATTTTATGACCTGAAATAATCTTTTTTAAAGCAACTTTTAGGGTTCATACATCACACTAGTTTTTATTTCATAAAAAACAAATTTTAAATAATCTTTTAAAGAATCTTATGAAGCACAAATATTCTGAATAAATTTTGGGTGAAACTTTATATTTATGATCCTGTATCATTAGAAAACATTTTCATGTAAAAGTAAGACTTGTGAACACAGTTTTTAAGACAAACATCAAACATATATGGCTTTCCTTAAGCATGTATTTTTTTTATGTTTATATAAATATGAATTGCGAGAAAACTTTTTAAGACACACATCACATTCATATTCTTTATCTCTAGAATGCACTTTTATATGGCTCATTAAAACGTCCTTACGAAGGAACTTTGCTTGGCATAACTCACATTGATATGGTTTTTCTTCAGAATGAATTTTTCTATGTTGAGACAAATAAGAGTGATGAGAAAAAATTTTATTACAAACATCACATTTATACGGCTTTTTTTTAGAATGAATTTTTAAATGTTGAGATAAATTAGATTTATGAAAAAACTTCTTTTGACAAACATTACATTCATATTGTTTGTTTCCAGAATGAATTTTTCTATGAGTAGATAAATATGACTTGTGACTAAACATTTTAAGACAAATGTCACATTCATATGGCTTTTCTCCAGAATGAGTTTTTTTATGTTGAGATACATAATAGGGATTAAAAAAAACTTTATGACAAACTTCACATTCATAACGTTTATCTCCTGTGTGAAGATTTTTATGTCTAAATAAATAATTCTTCCGAAGAAACACTTTATAGCACACATCACACTCATACTTCTTGTCTCCAGTATGGATTCTTTTATGGTTTGATAAATGATATTGCTGTGAAAATTTTTTCTGACATACATTACATTCAAAAATCATTTCAACTGATTGAAATTCTGGATTATTTTCACCACAATACATTTTTAGATCCTTTGATATATTAGATTGTAAAGAAAGCATTTCTGGGCAAGTAAGACATTCTTGTTGATTTTCACCAATGTTTGTGTTGTTATGAACAATTTGTGAATCATGTTGTTTCTCTTCAGTTTTAATTTTTAAATGTTGTGTAATGTGGTCCTTATTGATACATTTCTGATGACACATATCACAATTATATTCTGTATAAATAGATTTTAAACTTAATTTATCCATGTATTCTGTATGGATATTCTTCAGTTCCTCTAAATCATCATAAATCTCTGATTTAACAAAAGAAAATTGTTCAGTACACATACTTGAAGTTAATAAGGATACATCTGGTTTCATCTCTTCACTAATTGAAGATGTTGATACAGCAGAATTAATTTGCTCTGAAACTGAAAACTTGTTTACAACATCTGAATTGATTTCATCTTCAGGTTCACATTTAACCTGTACGGTCAACTGATTTCCACCTTCCATTATGCGCTGGTTTGGATTTTCAACTAGAAATGAAAACAAAATATTAGTTAAATAAGTGACTGACTAAAACTCATCAAGTGTTACAAATGAAACATAAATTAACATATTTACTTAATAAACTAACTGCTGCAGTATATTATAATTGATATTATAGGCCTAATCTACATATTCAGGTGGTTGCGATGCTGTCCAGTACCTGTCCTTTGACATGCTGTCCAGTAGCTACGCCCGGTTGTAGCTAGTTAACTATTAAATGATTAAGTAGATTACTAGATCTAACTACTAAAACTACTGTAACTAGTTAAAACTGTAATTAGATCTACATGTCTCTACGCTTATTTTGCTGGCTAGATATCATTTTAAATGTAATTTAATTTATCAACCCCTCTCCCTAATGACCAAAACACAGTAAAAAAAAGTTGCTGTACTGTCAAAGCCAGTGTGGTGATTGACAAATTTGTCATTGTCCTTTATCCTTTCAAATGAAAGATAAGGTTGTTTAACTGATTCTAATACATTTGTATCCTCTTCTGTGGTGTTACTGCAACAAACTCACCATTAATTTCTTCAGCCCCAATGTCTAGGTTGCACACAACCATTTCTGATGTTCCTGGGTCTTCAACTCTTGATCCTTCGCCCAAGACACTTTTCACCACAGCAATGTTGTCCTCTTGGTGAAGTTGCGCCACTTCAAGTGTCTTGGGGGATATTGTCCATTCAAAAATAGATGGCACTACCATCTTTTTCAAACATTTCAAAATTCTGGGATCGCCTGAAATAAAAATTTTATCATACAATTAATATAAATAAGCAGTTTTTCTATCAATGGTAAATTCAATATAAAAATAGTGATGATATGAATATAATTTTAAGGTTTAGCTAGGTCTAAAGTAATTGAAATCTAATGGCTGACTTAGATTATAATGAATAATACATTAATCCGATAATTACTTAGTCAATTACCATTTCAAATTATGTCTGAAAGTAAAGACCTATTATTAAATTTAGAATAAATAGGGCCTATTAAATAGTAATACTTATTTGAGAGGATAAGCTTATTTGTTATAGATTATAGATTTTATATATATATATATATATATATATATATATATATATATATATATATATATATATATATATATATATATATATATATATATATATATATATATATATACTAGCTGCATCCCGTGCTCCGCCACGGTAAATCTTTTTTAAATGTACCAACTTGGGAACAGAACAGAACAAAACTAAACACAACACAAACGAACGCAAAAAAAAAAACAAAAAAAAACGAAAAAACAAACACAACACTCATAACATAAACACAATTTAAATGCAATCATACAGGCATATTGCTCACAGTCTAGCCCGTAGCGCCAAATTGCGCCCTTTCCGGTGATTTGCACCCCCCTCAAACTTTCGATTTGCACCCCTTCCCCCCCCCCCCGCCCTAAAACTTTCGATTTCCACCCCCCCCCCCCCTCGCAAATTTTTTCCAACCCACTTTGGCGCCCCCTAAGGTCGGCACCCGGGGACATATGCCCCCCTCGCTATGCCTCTCCTATAAAACCAGAAAGATAGAATAATAATTAGAAATCAGCATAAATAATAGGCAGTATTTAAAATATCCGTGTTTTACCTACAATATTTCACTTTATCCATTCACGCATTTTTTTCCAGTACTTTAAATTTTAAAAATTTACAATAGAGTTTCATAACTAAAACCATTGCGCACCTAATGAACGTGCTGACGCATCTATAATAGTGCTGAATAGTTGATTAAAAATTATAAGTAATAAACGGTAGGGCCTACATTCAGTGAATAAAATAAATAAAAGATTGCCTTTTATCAATCCATGCTAATTATAATTTTCTAACTATAATTTCCTCTTACACATCCGAATAATTTGCATTCACATTTTGCTAATTATATTATTGCAACACTAATTCCTTCTATGACGAACGTATATTTGCATTCACATTTTTTATTAGCGTGAGTTTAATGTATTTTTAAATTACCTCCTTTGTCAAAATTAGAAAAGAGTTAAATTAATTTGATTTTTTCTACCGTACTATTATTATGTTATTAAAATGTATCCACTTTTTCTAGGAATATAAACGAAAATGATATTTGACATTGATCCTTTTAATATGTTTTAGCAATGTGCGTGTATTTAATATTTTCTTTAAGCTACGCAAAAGAGTAAACACAGTGGAAATTATAAAATAGCTCTATGCCGCTATATAAACAAACCCTACTCTAATACTTATAATAAGACACTGCGGTGCACTGAAAAGCACAGCATGGTGCAAATGTTTACTTTTATGGTTCCAAAAGCTATAGCGATGACAGAAGGAAGGAAGGAAGGACTGACACACCACAGCCCGCTTATATTATATATATATATATATATATATATATATATATATATATATATATATATATATATATATATATATAAATATATATATATATAAATATATATATATATATATATATATATATATATATATATATAAAATCTATAATCTATATATATATATACACACACACACATATATATCTATATATATATATATATATATATATATATATATATATATATATAACACTTAGGCCCTATTTGTATTAGAATGATTAGAATTAGTATTAGACAGAATTAATGCAACGACTAGTACAGTAGTACTACTACTACCAACATGTTTATAGAATATAGATCTATAATCTATCTATAGGCCTATAATATTATATTGTAAAGTAATTTAGGTGGTAAATTTACCTGTTGCAAAAGTGACATCACTCTTAAAATCCTCTTCTTTAAAATGTCTTTTACAGACCATAGACGTCTTTGATGGCTCCCACTTGCCATGATAAGGTTTCTCCCTTTTTTTAATAGCTGCGATCCATTTTGAACAAAGTTCTTTATTTTTGGGGAATAGGTGTCCACCTTTTCCACCACACTTCGGTACACAGCAATATCCTGGCATTTTTCAGTCCTATACACTTTATTAAATAGGCCTAATTAAAATGTGTGTTCAATCACTTGAAAGTTGAAAGCTATCCAGGCCAAGAAAGGTTTGTTGTGCTTTGATAATAACCTAAAAGTTCGTGTCGCCACCTATCGGCAGGGGTGGCCACTCTGAGTAGCAATATTGACCATTGCAACTGGAACAAATAACTAAACTGATGCATAATTAATATTATTTATTTAAAAATTACTAGATCTATTAGTCTAGTATAGATTTAATTAGAGTGCATAGTTTCATAATTAATGATATTAATCTTATTCTATGACCTGCGTAGCCTGTAGCAGATGTTTGATATGAGCCTATAAGCTAAACCAAACTTAAACCATAATAAATTATTAAATAATCTTTTTTGATAAAAATATAACAAAATAAAAATTGCAAGCTATCTTAATCTATACCTCACTCCCCAGTCACAGTTAATGATAATTAATGCTTTTTTTTATTATTGTAAGTTATCCCCGGTCATTTTTAGCATGGAATGACAGCCGACTGGGAATAGCCGTGTTGGGGCTATTCACACCGTCAGCTGGGAATTGCCCCAATAAACAGCTATTTCCAACCGACTGGGATAGCTAACAGTTAGGCTAACTGTAGTTAGAATCTAGACTAGATTCTAGATCTAGAATGTAGTAATTTTGATTTATTATTAATTTATTAGGCCTAGGGCCTAATTATAATAAATTAGTTTTTTTTCTAGATCCTATCCAGTTTTACCTCACCCCATAGGTCTGAGGCCTAAAATCTTAAATAAATACTTAACTAGATCTAGATCTAGATTTAGATCTAGTAGAACTTAAGTAATAAGTAGTAGATCTAGATCTAGATTCTAGATGTAGTGACACTTATTCAGAATTAGTAATTCTACACACGACACACAGTTACTACAGACGCCATTTTTCTGAAAGTATTAATCAGAGTTGTTTACCTTTCAATATTTGATTATTATTTACGAGATAGATTCTAAATGGTCCGTTGAGGGAGAAATACCGTAAAGCTAGCGTATGCAAGGCATGGGGACCCAAGGCAGATAGGGGTCCTTTTCCCTTATAAAAAATTAAAACTTTTACAATTGAATTTTAATATTTGAATTTGCTTTATATAAATAATTTTAAAAAAGAAAAAGGTTAAAAGTTCCGTATCGGCAGTGGGATTCAGTGTGTGTGTGTGGGGGGGGGGGGGGGGGGGGGGGGGGAGGTCAAACCAGAGGCGTAGCGACCCTTCCCGGCACCCGGGGCGAACTTTCAGTTTGGCCCTTTCCCCCCCCCCCCCCCAATATATATATATATATATATATATATATATATATATATATATATATATATATATATATATATATATATATATATATATATATATATATATATATATATATATAATAACACTACGGGCGATATCAGTTTGTCTCGCAAGACATTGAGAGAATCAGCCTATAAATAAACTTGAACTTTGACTAGTAAGTTAAAATGCATAATTGTTAAAAACATCAACTGACTGGAAAATTCCCTACCACCATCCTTTTCACCTACACAGACCTGCAGCTCCCTCCCAACTGTCTGCCCTCCCCGAAATTCCATCCTACTAAACATCGATGTTAACAACTGAACCTTTTTTTTTAAAAAACAACAACCATGGACAGTGTTTTCACAACAAGTGAAGTTCAACATTTTCCAATGTTTTTCTACTAATTTTATCATAATTACATTTTTTTGTGTGGATCTAATTGATCTGCAATCAATATGGCACTACTAACACTATAACTTTTTGCTTTTCATCAAATCGCCAAGAAACTTTGGAAAGTCGTTGAGAATATTCCAGGCAGTGTTTTTATTCCAGATATTTTTTCTGAAAAGGTGCATGAAAGAAACTCTGACTTTTGGGAAAAATTCTGCATACATTTTTTTATTTTATTTCGGAGGACGACGCCCCGACAGTAAGGCGGTGCGGTTTGACACTCGGAGTTTCCCAGCCACTATCTTTGCACTTGGGTCCGTTGATTAGGTGTCCGGAAGAGCGGAACAGCGTTTCTATTTGATCCAGCGGTCAAACTGCACAAGCGCATTAGCCGGCGCCCCGGCGGTCGTGTAATACGGTATCTGTTTTAACGAGCGCCATACACTAGGAATACGGAGTGATACAGTTTTAGAAACACAAAGACACACTATTACAAATACACAATTGATAACGTGTTGTTGAAACCTTTACAAGTTGTTTTGCTACCCTGGTATGTAGGACTAGATCGCAACAACGCAAACGGGTAAGCTAGTTGGTTTAAACATGCTTTAACATTTCACGGTGATCGAGAAAGAGATTTTGATGTCTATGATGGGATTTTTATATCTCATTATGATGATGTTAATTTGTTATGAAACAAATTGTAGATATGTTTATTGTGTCAGTAGCTTTGTCATCCTAAGTATGGAACTTACAGTAGAAGCTAAAATAGATCGCAATGAACTTATTGACCATTTTGCACAATTAAAAGCATGATAAAAAAACCCCAACAAAACAGAACTATATAAATCATCAGCAATTAAAAAAATGTGTAAGGTTAGTGGCGTCACAAGTTTGGATGTTCCCCTGTGCGTTTCTAAAGGTGTCACCCCATCATTCTCAACAGTTTAGCATTTTCGGCAAGGTTCAGCCCAAGCTCACTAATATTTTATTATTTTAGCTGGATACAACATACTTTTGACAGTGAATTCTACAATGTTTTGTCAAGGTGTCAGACATAAATGGTTTTATTGCCCCCCCCCCCCCCTCCGAAAATAATCTACCGCCCCACCCCCCCCCCCCCCCCCCGAACGAAATGAAATGTATATAATTTATATACAAAATATATACTTTTAACAGTGTCCGCCCCCCCCCCCCCCGAAGACAGTCTACCGCCCCCCGAAAATTTCAAGTGCCCCCCTTCCCCCCCCCCCCCCCCCCAGAGAAAAAAGTCTGGAAGAAACACTGATTGAAATCACGCCAGGCTGGATAAAGGTGAAGGGGTGCTTGAATGGGGTACCAGCCAACATATAGTATTCAACAATTAGTGACAAGAAAATATAACGTATACAGATAACACAATTTAAGACAAACCATTTGACAAAGTTAGAAATTCAAACTCATATAGTGAGGATATAATTTATTTTTCTTTTCATATTAAACATATTCGCTAATTCATGAAAGTAAAGTTAATAAATTTGAAATTTTGAACTACCACTAATTTATCATAGTTTTTTTAACATGTCCATAGATCGACACCCAAGAAATACAGCTTATAATATAGTACTTTAAAATTCTAAGAAAACAGTTTTGGAAATGATCGTATAAGACTTAAAATTGTGATAAAGGAAAAAACATTAGCAAGCGACTCTTGTTGATTTATTTTTTGAAACGTACAAAAAAAAAAAAAAAAAAAAAAAAAAAAAAAAAAAAAAAAAAAAAAAAAAAACCAGCAACAACGAAAAAAACAGAAATTTGTAGATATTAAGCATAGATAAAGCTAATATTAATACAATATCACACCATAAACTCATTACCGTATTTAAACATTTGATTTATTAAATGTAACAATTTTTGTAAGAATTGTTTAATAAAATAACATTTTAGTGTTTTGCTTGTAGATTGCTACAAAAAATATGTCTAAGCGAAAATGATTACGATCAGGACAAGATAAAAAAGTTGCATTTGCTCATGCTTATATCACCAGAAATAGAACAAGAAAAAAAAGAAGCATAAAAACGTTTTAATTTAAAAAAGCATTTAATTATAATTGTGCATCAAAATAGGAGAAAATAAATGATTTTCTTTAATTTTATAATTATGCACTATTTAAATAGTTATACACATAAGCGAGGGTTGCTTTTTAAATTTCAGAACAGTTATTCAATTGATAATTTAATGACCTATGCTTGTCATTGTAGCTGTTTAAATATAAGTAAATTGTTATAAATTTAAAGATAATCACTTATGTTCTCCTTTTATAGTGCATACTTGTATAAAAACTTATTGCTAAAACGGTTTTACACTATTTTACTTAACTTGCTTCCTCTGTCGTGCTTTTGTCTGTCTTTTTGTCGTCATAGATCGAAACTGTTGAACAAAGTTTCGAGCACTTTTAACTGATCGATTTGTTTCAAACTTGGCACATGTGTCGACTAATTGACAATGCAGTCTGACATCAAATTTGACTTAATTCGTCGCCTAATTAATTTTGCACTAAAAATGTTAACGTAAATAATTTATTTAAATATAATAATACACTCCTAAAATAACTATAAAGAAAATCGTGGGACTCTTCCTAAATATTAGCAAATGTATCAAATTATAGATAATATAGACCCACGATTTATAATGATTCATTTAATAGTAGTGTATTATTAAGTCAAAATTTCAAATGCTATAATGTATTGTCATTTGAACTTGACCCACGTGCCAAGTTTCATAGAAATTAGCCTGTTAGAAATGGTCGAAATTTCTTTCACCAGTTTCGACCCATGGTGGATGAAGCATTTAGCACGATAGACAGACAAAAGAACAAGGAAGTTGATTACATAAAAGCATTTAAAAACAGATACATATCACAACTTTGTAGAAACTCTTGTAAATTTCTCAAAATAAAGGTCCACACTATATCTGATCAACTCTAAAAAGATAGCAGGTGATGTAACTAGCTTTACAATTAAATTTTGTTACGTTTAGGAGGGTGTCAATTTTAGAAAACGAGTTTATAAAAACATTTATAATTTGTTTATATGTGTATTTTAAACTGGCTTTCAGTTGAAGTCAATTTCGCACATGTAGTTGAAGGTGAGACTGCAGGGAAAATCATTCACGTAGTCCAAAGACATATACACCACACAATCCTCCCAAGGATAAGAGTTGCTGGGTTCTCCTGAAGAATAAGATAATTCTCGTCGAGGTATTTTATGGTAACAGCATAACAAGAATTATCTAATTTTATTGCACCC